GATTTTTTTTTGCCAATATTGCCTAATAATGATGTACATTTAGTGTACTTCAGTACAATGTTAGTTATGTAGAGAGTGCTGTTCAGATGTTGGGCATTTCGTCTGAGTAGACGCCAACACTTTATGGTTCGGGGGTGCGCTGATTGGTGGGCCTGATGGATAGAGTTTCATCAGAGCTAAACAACAAAAGAAATCTGAAGCTTCTATGTTGAACACTTTCTGAGTTATAAGCGGTTTTGCATGTCCTGACACGCCCACTTTGAAAGGAGCCCCCTCCTCAAGTATGGGGTCTATCATAAAACCATTGGCTGGCGCAGTGTAGGTCAGTCTTATCGACAGCCCTGCCAAATTTCGTATTGATTGGTGCAGCCGTTTTTGTGGTACAGTTGACCAAAAAAATCACTGGAAAAATAAAAATAAATAAATAAACAATAAGAAAACAATATGACTCCTGCTTACGCTTCGTGTGCTGGGTTCATAATAAASTTTACCTTGCATTCCTGCTCTGTGGGCTAATAGGTCAATCCAACGGATTTTCACTGGCTTTCATGCCCACACCTGGTTGACAGAAGTAAGGTTTGTTGCAGCTGATGTTGTCAGACATCTGAGTTTTCTCTGATAACTTCTTGAACCTAAGTTCTTTTATTTTATTTTATTTTTATTTTTTTGTTTTGTCTTTCCCAGAAACATTTGAAATTGCGATTTGTACCAGTTGTAGCTGAGTGTTACTTAAGTTTTGTCGACTTGAGAAGGGAATTCCCTGTTCTGAACTAGGGGTGCACCAAATGCTGTTTTCTGGCCGATCACTGATCTTTAAAAAGTCTGACCTGCGGATYGAGATTTTTAAACWGCTGACACTGTCAGGTCTTAAAAGGTCACAATACATCTTCAATGTTCCAAYCTTATTTTACTGAAAAACCCTGAACAAAAACTTTGAAACGATACAAATTTGTTTTAACTGGACATTAAGCAGTGCTCACTGCAGAGGTAAAGGGGACAGTGGCTGATTTTTACACCTTTTTGTGGAGGTAGATGAGAAGCCTATCGTATCCAAGTAACGTCAGATTTCCCAACATTAAGGAAATATGTGCAGATAAATCGATGCACCCCTGTTCTTAACAGGAGTCACACAACAATGAGGAAAATACAAGAGATTAACATATGAGGTGGTTGTTGGATGTTGTATGGTTGTACCAGAATAAATCTGTCAGTTCAGAGAAACAGTGAGTACAGATTTCATGGACTGAACTAGGGCTGCGTGGGAAAAGCGGTAGATGGTATAAACAGTTTGAAGTTGGCCTACGGTAGAAATTTACCCTCTACCGTCCTATCGTCWGTTACGTCATCGCACCTGTGTCAGCATGGCTGCGAGTGCAGAGACAACTRAGCAGGAGGAGTTTGAAATAAAATGAAGAAATTCTAGTATTTTAAAACGCGTATAGAGAGAATAAATCCTCAAAATKTCCTCTTCCCGCTGTAGAAAAGTTACGTCGTGTCATAACCTCTCCCTCCCTCCTGCTGCACGTCGCRCAGAGCAAAGCTTTAACAACCATAGTTTTTCACACCCAATTKTCGGAGAAAAAAATAGTTTTTTAAGTATTGTGACCCCAACAGAGATGATTAAAAAAAAGACGTGGACGTTTGTTCAGTCATAAATCCATCTTGCTAATAATGTAAAGTCGGCTTTTGCTCTGATGATGAAGATGAGCGTGCAGCAGAGCAGCAGCTGATAAGTTCAGCAGGCAGAAGCTCATTGTTTGGCAGGCAGATATTAAAGCAAAAATGCTGGGTTTAACTAAGATTACAGTTCTCTGGAAAAAATGCTCTAAAAATTACATTATCTTTACTTTTTATGATAATTTTCTACCGCGATATATACAGTTACTGTGAAGGGATTAAATTTATACTCTGATATGAGTTTGAGTTCATACCGCCCAGACCTAGACTGAACCTTAAGTCTGAATTAGAAAGACATCAGTGTGAAGTTGATGTTTTGTTGGTCATTTCCTCGAAGTAAAGCTGTTTTATCTTTAAGCCAGTAAAAAGCTTGAACTATACCTTTGCTAACCCCTCAGCTGATTGTGTTTTCACAAGTAAAACAAAAGTAGAAATGGCTGCTGTTGGTTTATTTTTCATATCTGAATCCGTATTTGCAGGATTCTCACCAAAGCAGTGTCATTCACTCCGGCCACTCTCTTTAATAAGCTTTATAGGATGGAATTTTCTCTGGTGGGGGGATGTTCAGATGGAAGCTCCACCCCATCGGATAAAAAAAAAGTATTTTCTTTTGCGCCTCAGTGACAAACGTTCTGCGATTAAGTCCACCCTCGTCAGTCTGAAGCCGTGGCCAGGCGGCAGCGGGAAACATTTCTGTGCAGAACCATGCGGCAGCAGGAGTCTGTGTCCACGTCCAGCAGGGGGCATTCGACTCCCACACCCGCCCAGGCGCAYGGAGAGACGCACACCAAGGGCATTTAGGCAGCTGAGAGGAATCAAAGCCACGAGCATCTCCTCCGGTGTGGTCCAACAAACCGTGGTGTTTTGTGGCGTTTCAGCTGGAAGCAGAAGTAATCAAATAAAGAGGCGCTCTCCAAAAACGGCTGTAGTGAAATTCATGCAAACGGCGAAGCAGGTGGAGACTGATGTGTCTTTTTTTTTAATGCATATCAGGGGATAAGGGGAGGTGCCGTCACATGCAGCTGCACTCACAACCGCCGCCCCCCCACC